AAAAAAAAAAAAAAAAAAAAAAAGAGGGAGAGATCTGATCATGGCGCGGAAGCGAAGGGATGACGATGGTTTTTTTGTCACTCACTTATGTGTGTGCTGAAGGGATGGGAAGACAGTAGACGACGAGAAACGGAGCGATCACACAAAGGGGAAGAAGTGAATCGGACATAGATTTTTCCCGAGGCTACCCATTCTTTCCCGAATGACCCCTTTTGTCTATGCCTTTCCATCTGAATGTCTTTCTTCTCTGTGATCTCCTTCTTYGTCTAGGTTCGCGCTTGACGTCAGGCGATAAAGGGCTGACCATCTGCTGTAGTAAGTGCATTTCCTTTCCCTAGGGGGCATCTGAGGCGGGGGTTCGTTGCCTTAGGGGCCGACCCTGTTAACGACTTGGAGTGGACCGCTTAGGCGGGGGGATACCATGCTGTCGTGCTGGAGCCAGCCCGACTTCTGAGATCCGAGGTTCGCTCGCGTGAGGACGAGGGGTATCCCTGACCACCTCCTAGGGGATGGACGTGTGCTATTCACGGAAGGCGTTAAGTTCTTGGCGGCTCACGTTAAGAAGGACCACTATAGTTTACCCTTCTAGTGGCCGTTTTACGAGCCACGGACGAATGGAGAACTGGTGCCATAAGAAGCCCAGTTCGTGCTTTCACTAGCTATGGACGAAGTGCGTGTTGGCACTACCCTCGTGGATAGGGTTGCACCATAAGAAGTGCAAGCYTGGGGTAATCAGGCTAGTTGACAAAAGAATGTAACTAAAGCATTGCCTGGAATATCTTTATATCGCGGACTGGTATTTCATCACTCGTGAAACAGAAAAAKTAATCATTGCTMAGGAGGACAAAGCGACCAACAAAATTTGAAAATGGATCCTTGACCTTAATGAGGCATTCAACGTTCGGTCGTTCAAGTCGAGTATTGACTCGTATAGTGGTGGCCGGACTACTAGCAAATGACATTCACACCAAAGTTAGAAAGGTAGTGACGTCATCGCTAGAACAGTGTGATCCTAACTCTACTTGAGAGTTGAGATGTACGCATTTCTTTGCTTGCAGTCAGCATGCGGTGGAATGAAAGAACTTGGCAACGCATCTCATCAAGTCGAAAAAGTCATGCCAGTCCAACCGTCTGGCAAGTAGAGTGTAGGTACTTTAGTCAGACGCCAGTTGAGCGTCGCATCCTGTATAAGTCATGCTTT